TACTACGTATTTGTGTTACACGATTTTGAATTTTGCAAACCGCAGAAAAAATCGTTGTCCGAACGCCAACTATGACGACTCTTTTATTCTTTTTATTGTTTTGTCAATTTAGAAACTCTGCGCCCTGAATTTAACTGAACACACTAAGAGAATAATAATGTAATAATAAATAGAAAATGTGTTGAAAAATTTAATTTCAAAAAAAAATTTTATTTTTCAAAAATTTTTTTTTAATTTATTTATTCAGTTATAATGAAAAAGATGATTTCAAATAAATTTCAAATAATCATACCGATTTTCATTATATTAATAACATTGGAAGTAAGAAATAAATATATACTTGTACATGTAATTAAATAAATATCTAATAATATTCTTTTTAACGATAATAATAAGTGGTTTATATTACCTATTGATGCTCAAACAAAAGATACAAGTACTGGTATTATGATAGTGCCACCAAAATGGACTTGGTATATTTGTAGTTCACTAGAAACGAATTATATAAGTAAGCATTGGAATAATTCTCTATATGCATATCATTTACTTCATTATTTAATAAATCAAAAAATTCCCAGGTTATAATGTAATATGGATATCTACTTCCTCTGGAGCAACCCCAGGATTTGGATTTCCACCACAAGAAGGAAACCATCCAAAACAATACAAGACAAAAGGACTTTTAACCTTTGCAGCAAACTTTACAGGAATACAACAATTATTAGATCCAACAAGAACCCCAGCAGGATACATTCAGGAATTGTCATGTTTTGACGGTGATCCAGTATCGGGATGTGCAAAAGAAGCAAACCCACCATTTCCTTTTAATGTTATAGTTTGTCTAGCTGTAATCAATCCAAATGATGATGAGTTAAAATTTGCTGGATCATTCTCCTTTAAACTTGGTACACCACCACCATTAATGCCAAAATATGATCCACCTATTTATACCACCATCGATGAAACTACACCAACTTCTTCTTCAGCTCCCCCAACCGCCTCCACAAAGGCAATACAAACCAATGACTCTCCCTTTAATAACGGTGGCGATGGTGGTTTGATTTATAATAAATATGATAAATATAAGTTAATTATGTCATTAATTATTTCTATTATTATCACTACTTTGGTTTTTACCTGAAAATATAAAACACATGCGGGTGGAGTATTTAATTTAATTAATTTACATATCAAGCAAGATGATAATAATAATAACAACAATAGATAGTTCAAAAAAATAAACAATATGCATTAAA